TTATTAATTACCAAAGGAGTTCAATCAAACCAATTCTGGTGCACAAATCGAGACCTTAAATGTAAAGAATCCTGATGTGATTGTTCGTGCAGCGACATGCCCTCTCCGGGGTAAAAGACCGTGAAAATTCATTGCTTTTGGGACATTGTGAGAACACGTTGACACTTGCAAAGCACATTTCACCAAATCACAGTGAAACAGGTTCGGTGGGATTCAGCGATTTAGATCGACGCAAAGCAACAGTCAGTCTGATTACTGAAAAGCAGTCTTGTCTACAGCTTTTGTACATTTTGTTCCTGCCTAATTAATCCTGCTGTGTCCAAACCGAAGTGAAAAAGTAGCTCCTAGGACAGATACTTGAGGTGCTTTCTGCAGCCAGTAACTTTACGCTCAGCCAAACCCTACAGGTTCTCTGCGTAGCCGCTAACCTGTGCAGTAACACAAACCATTGTGATGTAACAAACCGGTGAGAGATAGTGACACTAAAAGAGAAAGAGAACGGTGGAAAGAGAAAGACGAGGGAAAACCGTTTGTGTCTGTGTGCCTTTGTGTGTGTGTGTGTGTGTGTTTTCCATGGATATTTAATGTATACGATAAATAATGAAGGCACGTGGGCAGGGTGCCAGATACACGAGTGTCAGACTGCGATCAGCACACTGAGGGCACCGAGAGGGCAGAGGAGGAGGAGAAACCGAGGCTTTTTGAGGATACAGGCTCCTCGCTTATGAGCAGTTTATTCATGTAATAGTTTGGAGAAAGACACCAGAACCTGAACAAAAATGATGAGTGCTTTCATTAGAAAGACCACACCATCAGTTGAGTCTTTTTTTATTTTTTTTGTCATTGAATTTGAAATGTATTAGAGACTGGCAGATGGGGAAAAGATGAGCAGGTTGATGGTTATGTTGTGGGAAAGGCTTCAGGAATGATCTGTCTCGGTTTCCAGGCTTGGCCTACCCGCTATATGAGAGATAATAGAGCAAAAAGATGAGGGTGGGGTGGGGCAGGAGCAATGAGAGGAAACAGGAAGAGGGGTGTTTGAGGCGTGGTCTTCTTCTTCAGCTTCTGCTAAATTTGAATTTTGTGATGCTATGAACATCGGCAGGGTATCACAAGGGTCTTTAAAGGTTTTGCCAGTTTGAACAGAACATAAAAGCTGGAATTTGCCTCTCTATATATTGTCTACGCTTGTAAACTTACCAGTATGGTTTTTGTTTAAATAACTTAATGAAATGTCAAATTAAACAAAGTGAAAAGAAGCTTTTTCACATCAGATGATTTCTGTTTATTTGAGGTCAAAACAAATTCAATAAAGTGCAGACTAATGATGGCCTACATGAGAGATGTGACCAATATGGAGACTTTAATATTCTTTATTGCGCCAAAGAAACATAAACACTATATTTCAATCCCGTTTTCCACATTTTGTAGTTTATTTAATATTTAACCGGCACTCTCCTAATGACCTGTATGAGCTTTTTCTTCTTCTTTCCAACTGGAGAATGTGTCCAGCTCCGATTATTTGCATAACTGCAGTAGATGAAAATGCACAATCATGTTGCTGCCTTTCTAGAAATTCAATTAAATTTTGCTCTAAATCTAGTTGGTAGATTAATTTGGCTGTCTGAATGCACCTCATTCATATTTTCTAATGTTTTGCTGCTTTTACTTAATGAAAAGGACACGATACTTTTTCTGACAACCAATACAATGCAAGATTTCCAAAGGCTAATCACTATCCACTGCAGCATTGGCAGCTGTTAAACCACGTGTAATTTCAATATTTTTATTCACAACTAAGCATGTGAATCTTTCATTTCATTGAAGTAATTCAATTTAAAACTGGTTAGAACATGACTGAAGCTTCCCTTTTTTTTACTTAAACACAAATTAGCCTGCCACCTCTGCAGACAGGTGTATTTTGAACTCACCGTTCTTCTGTTTTTGAGATGTTCTCTTCAGCAAAATTCTAAGCTTGACGAGGTAGTCTGGTTTTGTGAGATTAGATTGTGTCACCTGTCTTTAAGGTGCATTGTGTCGGCTGAGTGGATGTGCAAATAACCGAGGAGGTAATTATCGATTTATTGTGGTTAAAGGGAGAAAATGAGGGCACATTTTAGCTCTTGCGCTATTTTTGTAAAGAGGTGGTGTCTGCTTTGGCCCAAGGGTCATATTATTGAGTAGCATCCAGGGCTATTTTAGTAACAGATGTGTGTGTTTTGTGTGTGTGTGTTTTGGTTGGGTATTTGGCAGGAGCAATATGCCAAAAGAGCAGTTGCCTTGAAGCAATATGTGCACAGAGCTCACACCATTTCTCTCTGTACTTCTACCCCTCTACCCTCACTCCTGCTGAATTCAATCTGCGATATCACTGGAATGAGTGGGTGGTCTTTGTGTGTGTGTGTGTGTGTGTGTGTGTGTGTGTGTGGTACAGTATCATTGCAGTGAGTAGGTGGTGTAACCAAAGAGAGGATATTGCGTGGGAGTCAAGTACCATTAAGGTGCACATGATTTATGTGTGCGTTGGACAAAGTGTATTTGTGTTAATTATGAGCCCTCTGATCGGTGCAGGTTTGCCAGTAGATAAGAATCAAATAGTATATGACACAATAAGTGGTCTCTAAATATGTAAATGAGACTGTAGATGGTAAAAAAAAAAATTTAAAAAGCACTTTCTGGATATGATCAGTTTGTTAAAATTCTGATTAAGCAGTGCAGCAAGTAGACAGTAGTCTAATGGAAACAGAGTGTATTCCTATTCAAAACTGTGATGATTTAAGTCATGCACATGCTTAAAAATACAAAATAGCAAGTAGAATTGAGAAAAAAAAAAGCAGCCCTGAATGGCCCCGTAATGACCTAAAATGATTACTTGATTATGAAAGTAATTGCAGATTGATTTTCTGTCAATCAACCAACCACTAGCATTGCGTTTTCTCTCATGTTACACAAAAACAGCAGCAAGTTTTTTGAGAGACTGTTTGAGTAGTTTTTGTTAGAAAGATGACTTGCATGATTAATTGATTTACAAAACAGTTCCTAGTTGATGCCAACTGATTGATTATTCAGTTTGGACGCCTTCTTTTGTTCTGCAGTGGAGCAATTTGGCTGCTGCTGTTATCAAAATGTTTGCTGCACATGGCATTTAGTGCATCTCCATCTCTCACTTGACATACGCACCATGTAAATATACGCAATCAGAAGGACTGTGTGTGTGTGTGCTTGTGAGATATTTTTAGCCTCTCCTGTTCGTCTTGCCTGTCAGTGGAGCTGACATTGATCAGGGTGGAGATGACAGACTCGCCGCGCGTCAAAGCTTTCGCATGTTTCTGCGCCGCTGATTGTTCCCAACCTGCAAAGTGGAGCCATGTTGCGCTTTTTCATCTGATTAGATCCTGATTGTATTGGCTTTCTTTGATATTTCATGTTTGTTGATGTGTTTACTTGTTATTTCCAACAAATCTGTGTCTAGGGAGGAAGAAAAAACAACATTGAATAGGTTTTTTTTGTTGTTGTGTGTGTTTACGGAGCAAACTTTGCAAACACGAGTAACACTGTTAATAGGAAGACATTTTGGTACATATGAGGTTACATTTTACATTACATCCAAGACATTTAGAAGATGCTCTTACCCAGAGTGGCTGACAATGAGTCAACGGTGCGGGAGTGACAATAAGAGAGTGTGGGTGTTAAGACACAAGCACAGAATCCCTCTGTACATTTTCCATCGCTACCGCTTTTCATAGGTTAAATACGTGCTGGTTCTAACAGCCTAGAGGCAGCAACATAACTCATCTTCCATCAAGCCTCCTGCTAAAAATTATCTGTAATTTTGCTTGAACTTTGAATTTATTATTGACATTTTTTTGTACTTTCACACCTTGAAGTCAAGTTTTCAGTTGGGTGACATTCAGTGAGTCAGTATATGCTGACAATATTCCTCCTTCGATGTACTTACTGTAGAGCTGGAATCATGTTGTGATGAGTTGGTACACGTGTTCCACTCAAATAAAGGATCTATCTTCACCATAGTCAGTGCTGACAAAAGGGAGCTTCACCTCTTATTTTGTGCGAAAAATATTTTGTGTATCATATCATACAGTGAAGCTTGTTGTTGTTCATCCAGATGAATACTTTATGATTCTATAGAATACCAAAGGACCAAATCTGAGCTTGTTCTGACCCATATAGATGCCAGACAACTAATCTGATCACAGGTGAGCGAGTACATCTGTTCACACCTGGTATTACAGTCGGTCTCCATGTGCATCTCGTGTGACCATATATGATTGGATTTCTCTTCTCCGATCCATATGCAAATAAACCATTTCATCATTTTCTGTTTGCAAAGCTGGAATGCATTTAATAAAAGACAAGAAGAAGGAATCAAAACAACACAGGCTGGGTGTATTCTTTGCCGTCATCCAGGCAAACCGAATCGCTTAAGATGTTTAATGCACACATAATGTCCTTCGATAGGCTTCTGACGTCATGGACAAAGCTAGCTTGCGTGGTTTGAGAACAAGAATAAATACGTACTTCTGCTTATGCAGGTGGTGTCAGTGGAGTAGGTGGTCCTTCAGTGTACCTTCACATACGCACTGCTCAAAGAATGTGGCCATATGTGGCTCCAAATACCTCCTGATGTGGTCTGAGTGATCAGTGCATCTTAAATGTGCGTTAGGTGCATTCACACCTGCGCTCAGAGCTCCTCACTTGAGACTGAATCATCAAAAATGCGTGTTAATGCCAGTTGCAAAGAGGCCTTTAGGTTTTGACGTTCTGGACATGAGTCAGTTCAGGCTGAGAGTTGTCTCCAATTAGCAGCACTCGAGCTAGTTTGGGGCTAATGTTATTATCAGGCCAGTGTACTTTGGTAAATAACCAGTATGTCATGATTAATTTAGACAACCTGGGACGTGATCATTATGAAAATAAATAATAATTTTCTTGTTTAATGCACAGAACAAATCTTCTTTTTGTTTCCTCTCTCTTCACAGTGTGTTGTTTCGTGGTTCACAAACGTTGCCATGAGTTCGTCACTTTCTCCTGTCCAGGAGCTGATAAAGGACCTGCCTCGGACGTGAGTACAAATAAATTCATCATCTTAGATTGCGCGGTTCTGTATAAGAGTGAGAATGAGTAGCGAAAGCCACATGAAAAGCGAGAGACACCAAGACTGCTCAGACATTTCCACTTCTTGAATCCCCATCACCTGCTGACACCGGTGTTACGGTGGATGAGCATCCGTCTCTTTCTCTATTCTCACTTTCCTTTCATTGTCTTCACACCGTAACATGAGACACTCACACGCAGGAAAATCTCTGCTTTTTATCAACCTAAGACATGTGATAACTGTAGTAAGTTGCCTAAAGACATGTAACACCTGGAGCTGCCCCTTATAACCACTCATATCGACCGACAGGTAGGTGATAAATTGAAAATGAAATCCCATGTTAAGATGTGACAGATCGGGGTACGATATGATTCACTACTGTAGCAAGTTCACTATATCACTTTATAGGTGGCTAGTACTGTCAGATGTTGTATTAATACGGTATTTCTGTCTCAAGTTGCCTAAACAGTTATTAGTCTTTTTTTGGTCTTTTTACAAATTTTTCATCCATATTGCACTTTGAGCCAATTTATAGATGGAAGGTTAACGTTGTGCCAAGCTCACGTTATTAATTCTCTGTAAGTGTTCCCTTCACCTCATCCGCTCTAATAATGTGAAGTGCCATTCAGTGGTATCCTGTCAAGAAGCTGAGGAGTTGTCTTTTCTATGATTTCTATTCTCAAAATGCAAATCTAATCTCTTAACTATCCTTCTCAAGGAACAAAATGATTTGCCTCTTTTCTCTTAAGAGTACTCTGCGGCTGCACAATTCATCCCCTCGTAAACCCCTCTTTAAGTTCCTCAGCCATGTCTTTACCTGCCTCTCAGTGCCCATTTAGTCTGACAAGCACACTCAGTGAGCCGCCTCCAGAGGAAACGCTGGTGTTCGCTATTTGGCTTCCTGTGGTGTGTTCTGTATCACTGATAAGTCTCCACAGTATTTCCACTCATTAAACTATATGTCTAATAGCTGCCTCACTTCTTTTCACAGGCCCCAAAGCAGAAACTCGGTGCAAAGTGAACAACATCTGTGATCACTGAAACAAAATTGAATACACCTGTGCTGTCAAATTGACCATATTGAATAGACAAGAGGATTCAAAAAAATGTATGTGTGAGAAAAGACACAGAAAATTCAATGACGAGATGCACAGAATGTGCCGTATTACCACTAGTCAGATCCGCAGCCGCGATCCTCCTAAAATGACGCCACGGACAGTGCACTACTTGCACAATCTAGCCCTAAAAAAAGAAACAGGCAAGTGCTTAAAACTTGGCGCAGGGGCAAGCATCGAAAATCAGAGTTTCTAACAGCGCAGACAGTCAGACTTTGCAAAACATCAACCCTTATGGATGGCATCAAATTTAAAAACAGTACTGCTTCCGCGTTGCCACAAAACTGCTGGATGAACTGTGTCTTAGCGAATGCTGCTGACGGATAGTGGCGAATAACAGCGTCAGCAGTGAAGACGACGGTAGTGAAACTCCGTCTGCGCTTTGGTTGCTGGTGCAAAAATAAAATTGAAGGAGCCAGGTGCTTGCTTCAGTACCATATGCTCAAAAAAACACGTACGCAACTAGCGGCAAAAAAGTTCTGTCAGATCACAAGTCAGACCCCGGCCATAGAGCTCTGAAACTCACAACTCGTTTGCCAGGAGCAGCAGCCACCGCTGAGCTACCGGCATCAATAACTAACCGGGGTTTGTGATTTAAAAATGCGCATGTGTACGTTCATTGCAGAGCACGAGTTGTCGCTCACCATATCTCAGCCACTCGTTAATCTGTGCAAAAAGTTGGCTGATGATAAAAATGCTTTGTCGAAACTGTTTGTCTTAAATCAGCATGCTGGTTACATAGATACACCAGTATAGCACCAGTATTTAAGACACGTCTTTCTGAAAAGCTCAAAAGATTTGTGTTTTCACTGAATATTGACCAAGTATTGTATATCAAAACTAGAAAAGCCCTGTGATTTATTGTGATTTACAGCCAATGTTAAAGTCCTGCATTCATTTTATCTACACTGTTCGATTCATGGATAATCAAAACATAGCTTTATCATTTGAATTAACATTGATGTCATTAATAACAAGCTGACACAGCAATGAACAGTCTTTCTGTACTCTCAAATATTTTTTACACTTATGTTATTTCTGCAGTTCCTTACTAGCTTTACGCTGTTAGCTAACGCTACACTAGGTTGGCATAACTCCAGCGATGTTATTAACATAAACAGACAGGGAGTAGCTTAAGCTAGGTTAGCACAATTTTAGCAATGCAACATAAATGAAAATCATGAACCGATGCAACAAAGCACACGTCAGTCTTCCTGACACATGGCAAAGAGAGTTAAAGTGAACCAGGAGACATGTTGCGTCATTGTTAATGTCACAACGTGGTTCTGAACTTATCTGTCAGCAGCTCCGTTCAGCTCACTCCTGTAATGCTGCCTGGCTGTAGCTCTCTCCTGTACTACTGAGAAGACAGCGGTGAGGACTGAAGGACTGAATGGAGTCAGAGCTCCATCTAGTGGACAAACGACAGCATTCTGCACCACCGTGACACTTAACAGCATTTACTGTTTAATGAAAAAATATCCAAATGGTAAGCCAGAACACCAAAATTTAATCATCCGTTCATTGTGGCATTATCAACATTTCCTGAAAATGTCATGAAAATCCGTTCAAAGCTTTTCGAGTTATCTCGCTAACAAACAAACAGATAAACCCCCGGCTGAAACATAACCTGCGTTTGGGAAGGCAGTTATCTTAATATCTTACTAATTAGCGAGATTGTACCCGCACCCAAAGGCAAAAAAGTTCAGGCTCAGGATTATTTTTCACTTTAAACCCTGTGACAGTGATGCATAGTCCCGATGGTGAATGCATAGTCCCGATAGTGGATGCATAGTCCTGATAGTGAATGCATAGAGGTGGGAGTTTGATGACATCGGACTGCATGAGTGCCTAAGCTGTTGAGAGAGAACACATTTCTAGATGGCAAAAGATGAATTCCTGTGGATATATCAAAAATACTGGCTGAAAAGATACTCCCAGTCTGTAGAAATGTGGTTTAAGAGGAATATTCCAGGATGATAACAATCCAAAGCACACTGCCAAAATCACACAAAAGTTTCTCAAGAAGAAAAAAGTGATCTAGTCAAATCTGTCATGTCATGTAAATCCAATAGAAATCCTTTTAAAAGGAAAGCTAGAGCAGCACAACCCCTCTAGTAAAGAGCAGCTGAGAAAAATAATCTCTAAAGAATGACAGAATATCGCTCTAGAAAACTGACCAACACTGGTGGCCTCCGTGCCGAGGATTGTTGAGTCAGCCATCAAAAGAAAGGTGGACATAGGAAGAAAAAAAGACTTGAATCTCAGTAATGACTTTACTTGCATGGACTTCCTGCTGTGGGGGCTGTATTTTTAATATAATAAATCCAAAATGTCTATTTTTAATTTCAGCACGAAAGGAAATCCATTACTGTATATGATTTATCTCTAAAACCTCTGGGTTTTTTGCCTTTTGACATCTGTCTGTTAGAAAATTTGGGGAAGTCCTTAAAATTGTAACTGAAAGAAATTATCCTTGTGTATAGATATTTAGAATTTCTGCTTTTTAGCCTTACAAAATAGTTGACAGTATTCAATTTTCCAGTAAACAAATGTGAGAACATCGTGAGTTCAAGCAAATCTCTGAGTTTGTGTTTAGCTCAAACGTAACCGCTTCATCAGCTGCTTCACTGTGATTGGCTGCTTTACTGTTTCTAATAATTTCTGTGTGCATTTAGACATCTTAATTTGACTTAAACTGTTAACGACTCCTCTCACCAGCATTTTTATATAACACCTTCTGTATTGTCCGTGTATATGTTCATTACTTTGTTTTCTTCGTCTTCTTTTTCTGCTTGACTTTTTGAAACCAGCAAAAAGTCAGTTTCTTCATTAGTGGCTTCATATATCAGTCCACATCTCTATAGTCTAATTCCTCTTAATGTCCCTTCCTCTTTTCTCACACTTGTCTATATTTGGCGTACATGTAACTCTTCCCACACCTTTTTTCTCCCTCACCGCCATACCTAACTCCGTTCTGCACATCCTCTATTTAAATGCCACTCCACCCAGGGGGGCCCTGCTCTTAATTACGGGGGCCTCACCACCCCCACCGTGTCATCTCCTTAATGAGTTCATGGCCTTGCGACCTCGGCTCCTGCACAGCGGGAATGTAGCTCCAAACTAGTTGCTCATTTAAACATAGGAGACGGTGAGCCAGGGAGCATCATGACTATAGAAGGAAGGAAGAAGACTAACAATGTACAGGTTGCTTTGAAAACAATGAGATTTTAGGATGTACACCTATTCCAGTTTGAAAATATAAGGGATTTGATAATGATATATAGGATATTTCTATATTTGCCTCATTGCAAAGCTACCAGAAATTATAATCATAGAAGTGCTCAGACTTTGTCTTGGCACATTATGGAACACCTGGGTGGAGTTTTTCGAATAACGGTGTCAGACTTGTACAGCTTGACACAATGTTTTCTCCCACGCACACATGGCTCTTGGAAACTGAAACAGAGAACAGCACATTTCCGCCACCTATTTCATTTATTTTCAGCTTGATTATGCTATACGCTGATTAGCCAGAACATTAAAACCAAGTGAAGCGAAGAACACTGACTTCCTTGTTACACTGGTACCTGTCAAGGGGTGGGATTATTATTAGCACAGTCGGTTCTTGATGTGTTGGAAGCAGGAAAGATGGATGAGTGTCAGAGCTGAGGAAATTTGAAAGGGGCCAAATTGTGATGGCTGGACAACAGAGTCAGAACATCTGCAAAACAGCAGGTATTTTGGGATGTTCTTGGGGCACGGAGGTTGGTTCCTGCTAATAGTGGTGCAAGGAAAGACAAGTGGTCAGTTTACAATGGAGAGAGTAGGCTGGTTTGTGCGTTCTGAGCC